TGATTTAGCGTTAGGTTAAGTGTTTTCACACTTTCGCTTCAGTCTGACATTTGCTTGGTGTGTGAGGGCACAGAGACGTGTATGGACCGTGTGTTTGACTGTGTTTGTCTTGTTTGTTTGTTTATTTATCTATATGGGCGTGGCTGAGCCTTGAGAAACATCAACAAAGCCATTGGGCTATTCTGAGTAAATTGACCAATTCAACTTCAGGATCCTGAAACAATTTGGCTATAACCTCTAATTGATGAAGGACATCTTAAGAATTCATTGTACAAGGCATCATCTCCAGTGTTGCTGGAACTGTTATAAAACCCATGCATGGTTGTATATTTTAGTTTGATCATTTATACTCATTGAATTATTGTTGTTTGCTTTATGTTTTAATTTCTTTGTAATTTTTTCTCTGTGACACAGGTGGAGATGCTGGTGGCGAAGTGGATCCCACTCATTTCTTTCTCCCACACACATTCTTACTCTCTCCCTCTCTCTGTGTGTGTATGTGCATGTGTATGTGTTTGTGTGTCTGTGTGTCCATGTCGTGATGTCACTGTACCTTTAATTGCGCTTGCTGTTCGTAACTGTATGTGTCTGATGTTGAAGGTATCAGAGGCTAGGGTCAGTAAGAGCTAGGACATTTTTGTGCATAACCTTTAATCCCTAGGCGATCGGTCCGGGGAACTTCTGGTCCGGCCGGAGTGTGAATCTTCCTACCAACTATCTGCCAAGATCAATTGGACTGCACAAGCCGAGAAAGCCTTCATTGGACCAAAACTACACACACGAAGAGGCTTCGCCTTCGGTGCCAGGCGTCTGGGTCCTGCTAAAAGTCACCAAAAGGAAGTGGACGGAACCAAGGTGGACCGGGCCATACAGGATCACGGAGAGGACATCACACGCTGTCCGGCTGGACGGGAGGAGCCTAACCTGGAAGAGAAGCAGCCGACATCTGCCTGACCAGAAGAAGTACCCAAGGACCAGGACGAGAAGCAGCTGACATCTGACCAACCAGAGAAAGGATCCAAAAACCAGGAAGAGAAGTAGCTGACTACAGTAGCGTGCCAAGCTACCACCACATCCTGCAGGACGAGAATCTTGATATCATCACCCCCTGCAGCTGCCTGGAGCCAGTGGAGGGACCTCAACAGGGGGAAGAAGTAGCCACCCTATGAACATTCTACAAGGGTTGTATTTAACACCCTCATTTATTTTACAAGGGTAATATTTTACACCCTCCGCCTGCTGACCCAATTATCCAGATGCCCTTGTTACTAGCCAATCCTAACATCTATTTGGGAGGGGAACCCTCTGATGAAAGTGATGACTCTCATGATGAAGAAGATGTTGTTAGAGTGTGAGAATATTGAGTGATTTCTGTAACAATCCCTTAAACTGTTTATTTTTATGAGTTTTTTGTTTTTATTGTTTTTGTTTCTTTTGATCATTGATGTCCTAGGCATGCACACTCTATGCCAACAGGTGTTCGCCCCAAAATTGAGATATGACAAATGGGGGGACATGGGGGAATTTTCCCTATAAACATATGATAATTAGGGTTTTTCGCCCTCATATGGAGTTGCATGCGATCCATACATGTTGTAACATGTTCAGTTGAAAGTATGATCATGTTTTTTGTATTAGTTTACTGCTAGAAAGATGAGTAAATGTAATCTGATTGGTTGTTTGTATTGGTATTTTAAAAAAACTTTTCTTATTGGATTCTTTTTGATGGAATTTGGTGTGTTTTGATTTCTTATATCTTTATTGAACTCTTAAAAGAGTTCAAAAGGGGGATTGAAAATATATATCTCTCATATAAGCTCTTTCATATATTATTATAAGCTCTTTTATTATTCATTCTTACATGCTACTCTTTTCATTATGGGATCATGTTATAATATAAAGGTCTCTCTGTGTTTCTCTCCTGCACAAGCTCTTAAAACAGCTGCAGGAACTCCAAAAGGGAGTGAGACATTGCAGTCTCTTCTTGTACCAGGTTACCAAGGATATTTCTGCTTATCTTAAGAATTACAAGTTCTTGTGACATGTTAGATCCTGCCTAACAAGGCAATATATATATATATATTTACCTTATAAGCTCATTTTATTATCTATGCTATGGAAACTCGCTCAGATACTCAAGGCCTTCACACAAAGATTAATAGCTGTGTATCTTCTCCTGCACAAGAGAAGGGAGTGTGCACATTCCATCTCCACTCAGTGCCTCTCGGTACCAGTGAATGTATCTTCTCCTGTCATGAATATATCAGGATGTTCCTGGTAATCTCAAGGATGTGTTCTAGTGATGTATTAAACTGTCCGCTAACAAGGCTGTTATTTTCACCTGTCATGATCATTGACGTATGTACATGGCAAACTGCGTATGTTACATTCCTGTACTCTTCAATAAAAATCAGCCGTTTCAGCAGAACGGCGAGAGTCTGTCCGAAGCATCTGGCAAGAGCAGGTCGCGGGACTTGCTGCAGAGACTCTCCCCCTCATGAGCGGCGAAACAGTGAATGGACTTCTGATCATTTGTCTCCTCGTTCTGACAACTTTAAAGGTGTTTAACTCCATCTACTCCGTACCCGTGCTTGGTCTAACGGAAGAGAGACCAACAATAGATAGATAGATAGATAGATAGATAGATAGATAGATAGATAGATAGATAGATAGATAGATAGATAGATAGATAGATAGATAGATAGATAGATAGATAATAAGAATTATACACAAAATAAACCAAAGAAGGGATGAGTGAAATGTGTTCATGACACTGAAGCACCAAAAACAGTGTTCTTGATTGATACGCAGTAAACATAACAAAATACCAATAAAGTAATAAAAATTATATATATACATACATAGTTATATATGTCTACATAGGAATATGTATATATGTATCATAAAAAAGAAGAACACTAAGAAAATAAGACAAAAACATAAATAAAAAAAATCTGCAAATGTGATGCAATCCAATATGGCTGCCACTTGATGACGTCATAATATGCTAATTATTTGAGTGAATTTGTTCCAATCACAAAATTTGGCTCATACAGAAGATTTTTCTAATTTACAATGTTCCTCTATCTCTAACCAGATTTAAGCTACAAGCTCTTTAAATAGTGGTATAAAAAATTTGTGTTTTACTGAACAAACTATGGCGCCTAAAGGGTTAAAGATCTATTTTGATACCAAGAACGTACTTATGTTCGAACAGGGGAAAACGCTATTTTAGGTTTTGTGTTAAAATAAGTCCAGGACTACAAAATTGCTTCATGAAAGTGACGTCATCGAACCAGACACTGAGAAAACTGAGGGAAAAGGGCTGTAAGTTCAGCAATTTTCCCACAGGAGGAAAAAGCCACCATAAATCTGGTCATGTGGTAAGTAGCAGCTACGTTAGGGGAGAGGAGATTATGTGGTGACGTGCAGATTTCTAGTTCATAGTCATGCTAATTACGAACTTTTACAAGCTGATAAATCTCAAAGTACGTAAATGGCATGGCCGAAACACCCATCATTACTTTTCATTTAAACTGCAGTACAACATATGTGTGATCCAGGGCGTAAGGCAAAGCGGATTAGAAAATAACGTTTTTATCTCCGTTGACTTTCATTCATTTTTTCATTCTTCCAGGGACCCATGGTGCAGAAGTGTCTTAAGCTCCCTATTGGGTTTCATAAATGGCAATTTTCGCTGAAAAGCTTGAAGTTTGCAAAAATGAGATGAACATATTTTAAATTTACGTCAATGCTGACCAAATTTAGGACTTTTTAAAGATTTTTAAGAGCCTTAATTTTCCTTTAATCAAATTCTAGACTTTTCAGACTTTTAAAGACCCCGCGAATACCCTGTACGGGTAAGGGATGAGGTCCTGGGTGTCATCCGGGGTGTAACTACCTACTTTAAATTCCTGCAATGCATTGATGCATCAGCATTTAAAGGTCAAAAGCTCTAAGTCAGGGAAGCAATGGCTATTTGTAATGTAATGATGAAATTGATCACTAGCAGGAAGCAGTTCCCAAATATTTCAAACAAGCATTTTGCTTCCATAGAAAATTAAGCATCCTCTCACACACACACACACACACACACACACACACACACACACACACACACACACAGGCACATGCTACTATAAATATGGATAATACAATTTAACAGCTCCTATTCCATTTATTTTTGTAGATGTGTTGGTGGTCTGTTTTCTATTTCTTGTGTACTGCTGTCACTCCATTTGCCCCTCCCTCTCTTTCCCTGTTTGTGTTGTATCTCTCTTTTCTCCCTGCCTGTTCCCTCTGGTGCGTAGGTGAATGTGGTCTAACATGCCACAGACATAATAAAGGCTATTGCACAACAAGATGAATATCTCACATCCCTCTTGCCGTAGAGCAAAACTGCTGTGGCATCCAGTTCATCCATACTGTCTGCTTCAACTACCTCGACTTCCAGGAGAACAATCAGGACAACCAGGAAAACAGAACTACCACGATCAAACAATAGTCATCAGGACAACCAGGATAACAGAACTACCACGATCAAACAATAGTCATTAGGACAACCAGGATAACAGAACTACCACGATCAAACAATAGTCATCAGGACAACCAGGATAACAGAACTACCACGATCAAACAATAGTCATCAGGACAACCAGGATAACAGAACTACCACGATCAAACAATAGTCATCAGGACAACCAGGATAACAGAACTACCACGATCAAACAATAGTCATCAGGACAACCAGGATAACAGAACTACCACGATCAAACAATAGTCATCAGGACAACCAGGATAACAGAACTACCACGATCAAACAATAGTCATCAGGACAACCAGGAAAACAGAACTACCACGATCAAACAATAGTCATCAGGACAACCAGGATAACAGAACTACCACGATCAAACAATAGTCATTAGGACAACCAGGATAACAGAACTACCACGATCAAACAATAGTCATCAGGACAACCAGGAAAACAGAACTACCACGATCAAACAATAGTCATCAGGACAACCAGGATAACAGAACTACCACGATCAAACAATAGTCATTAGGACAACCAGGATAACAGAACTACCACGATCAAACAATAGTCATTAGGACAACCAGGATAACAGAACTACCACTACCACGATTTAGTTCTATGATGTCATAAAGGCACTACTACATACAGCTTCTGGAACTCTTGTAGTCATTCACTTCGGAATCTCAGCAGGCAACAGATAGGTCTCCTGACTGTCTTCACCCAGTGCTTAGTTATTTTAGCTTATTGATTGAATTCTTTAATCAGTAACTATCTTATTATACTGAAAATGCACAGAGCAGATAACTCACGTGATTATAGAGAGGCATCTGTTTATCGGGGAGATTCTCCACCTAGGCGGAGGTTTGACAGGTCTCGATCACGGGACAGATTTCAATCAAGAGAGAGATCGCCAAGTAATATCTACCCCCGTAGAAACCAATTCTCTCCAACTAGACTGATGTTTCACAGGTCTCAACCCAGGGACAGATCTCCAAATAATGTCTGTCGAACTAGAAACCTGGATTCTCCACCTAGGCGGAGTTTTCACAGGTCGCCATCAAGAGACAGACCTCCAAGAAACATCTACCATTCTAGAGGCATGGATTTGTGGCACCTCGATAAGCAGCAGAGAGCAGATTTACAAACCCTCGAAGAAAAACTGGATGCTCAAGTGGAAGCCACCCACAAATTGGAGGTTAAATGCCAGAAAATTGGACAATCTTTGGAAAAGGAGCAATCTGATAACAAAATCCTTCGGTCCAAAAACACTGAACTGAGACTTCTGAACGAGCAGCAGAGTGCAGAAATTCAGTCCCTTAAAGAAGCGCTTTCTGCACAAGTGGAGGCTACCAAAATTATGGAGGACAAATATCGTAAGTCTGAAGATCGAACTTTGAGGTTGCACTGCAAACTAGTTCAAGAAAAGTGGGAAAGACAAGACGAAACTCAAAATTTGAACCAAGAAAAAGAGGATTTACTGGCTTCTTGTAAGAGCTTAGAGGAAAATCTTCGCATTAAAACTGAAAGTGAGTCCAGGCTGCAGAATGAGCTAAATGCAGCTATGAGACACCTCAACAAGTTGCTACTGGAAGCAGAGCATTTCCATAAAGGAGAGGCTGAAACGTGTTCCACGCTGCAAGACGCACAGGACCACAATAAGCAGAGGAACGATGTGCAGGACTCTACAAATACAGGGTCTAAACAGCCCAACAGAAAGGCTGTCAAACGGCAGATGGTAATGGAAAATCAGAAAGAGAACAGCATTGTCCTGACTAACGAAAGGACCCTGAAGGTTGACCCACAGGAAGCACAGGGTCCTACCTCAGGGGAGGTCAGGCTGGAATCCCAGCTCCTTGAATCAGAGCCGACACACCAGCCTTATCTTCTACATTTTCAGAAAGATTTTAGTGAAATCAGCGAAGGTTTAGCTGATACATCAGCTCCATTAGACGACTTGAATAACAACAAACCACAAATTGATCAAAGTTCTGCCACAACATCAAACTCTCCAACCAGGAAGCGTAAGAGATCAGACTGTCAGTCTGTATCTGATTCTTCTGCCTCTCAGATCCATGGAGAAAATTCCTTAAATATTACAAAGGACTTTGAGGAACCTCCAGCTAAATGTTCAAAAACAGACTCAGAGGAAACAGAAACAACAAAATGGTTTCTGCATCCTATAACCTCCGAATAAAGTAACGTGTTTCTCCGGTGTCTGTGAGGGCGGGCGGAGGGGTGGGTAGCATTCCTCCGACGTCCGTCACAGCGGTGGGTGGAGGTCTACGCTTTGAAGACTTCCAGGGTGGGGGGATGGTTACTGGAAGACAAGATGAACGGCTCTCTACAGGGACTCGTCTTTCATCATTCACTTAAAACCCGTTAAAAATATTAGATTCGTTTGCGAATGACACATCACTGGTGATGACCCCAAGATCAGGATAATAAATAGAAAACAGAGCAGAAACACCAGGCTCATATTTTACATATTCAGGAAGATTTTAGTGAAATCAGCTAAAGTAAAGCCAGAATATTAGCTCTATTAGACGTCTCAAACAACAACAAACCACAATTTCATCAAAGTTCTGCCACAGCATCGAGCTCTCCAACCAGGAAGCGTAAGAGATCAGAAAACTCTCAATCTGTATATAAAGTAACGTGTTTCTCCAGTGTCTGTGAGGGCGGGCGGACGGGTGGGTAGCATTCCTCCGACGTCCGTCACAGCGGTGGGTGGAGGTCTAACCCAAGATCAGGATAATAAATGAAAGAAAGAAAGAAAGAAAGAAAGAAAGAAAGAAAGAAAGAAAGAAAGAAAGATGCAATTTTTTGGCAGCTACGTCACCGTGGTAAATCAAAACACTTAGAAAAGTATTAGCACATCTCCCTCAGCCAAGCCACTTGTTTTGATGTACAGGGAGTGCAGAATTATTAGGCAAATGAGTATTTTGTCCACATCATCCTCTTCATGCATGTTGTCTTACTCCAAGCTGTATAGGCTCGAAAGCCTGCTACCAATTAAGCATATTAGGTGATGTGCATCTCTGTAATGAGAAGGGGTGTGGTCTAATGACATCAACACCCTATATCAGGTGTGCATAATTATTAGGCAACTTCCTTTCCTTTGGCAAAATAGGTCAAAAGAAGGACATGACAGGCTCAGAAAGGTCAAAAATAGTGAGATACCTTACAGAGGGATGCAGCAGTCTTAAAATTGCAAAGCTTCTGAAGCGTGATCATCGAACAATCAAGCGTTTCATTCAAAATAGTCAACAGGGTCGCAAGAAGCGTGTGGACAAAGCAAGGCGCAAAATAACTGCCCAAGAAATGAGAAAAGTCAAGCGTGCAGCTGCCAAGATGCCACTTGCCACCAGTTTGGCCATCTTTCACAGCTGCAACATCACTGGAGTGCCCAAAAGCACAAGGTGTGCAATACTCAGAGACATGGCCAAGGTAAGAAAGGCTGAAAGACGACCACCACTGAACAAGACACACAAGCTGAAATGTCAAGACTGGGCCAAGAAATATCTCAAGACTGATTTTTCTAAGGTTTTATGGACTGATGAAATGAGAGTGAGTCTTGATGGGCCAGATGGATGGGCCTGTGGCTGGATTGGTAAAGGGCAGAGAGCTACAGTCCGACTCAGACACCAGCAAGGTGGAGGTGGAGTACTGGTTTGGGCTGGTATCATCAAAGATGAGCTTGGGGGGCCTTTTCAGGTAGAGGATGGAGTCAAGCTCAACTCCCAGTCCTACTTCCAGTTTCTGGAAGACCCCTTCTTCAAGCAGTGGTACAGGAAGAAGGCTGCATCCTTCAAGAAAAACATGATTTTCATGCATGACAATGCTCCATCACACGCATCCAAGTACTCCACAGCGTGGCTGGCAAGAAAGGGTGTAAAAGAAGAAAAACTAATGACATGGCCTCCTTGTTTACCTGATCTGAACCCCATTGAGAACCCGTGGTCCATCATCAAATGTGAGATTTACAAGGAGGGAAAACAGTACACCTCTCTGAACAGTGTCTGGGAGGCTGTGGTTGCTGCTGCACGCAATGTTGATGGTGAACAGATCAAATCACTGACAGAATCCATGGATGGCAGGCTTTTGTGTCATTGCAAAGAAAGGCGGCTATAATGGTCGCTGATTTGTTTTCATATTGTTTTTGAATGTCAGAAATGTATATTTGGGAATGTGGAGATGTTATATTGGTTTCACTGGTAAAAATAAATAATTGAAATGGGTATATATTTGTTTTTTACTAAGTTGCCTAACAATTATGCACAGTAATAGTCACCTGCACACACAGATATCCCCCTAAAATAGCTAAAACTAAAAACAAACTAAAAACTAATTCCAAAAACATTCAGCTTTGATATTAATGAGTTTTTTGGGTTCATTGAGAACATGGTTGTTGTTCAATAATAAAATTATTCCTCAAAAATACAACTTGCCTAATAATTCTGCACTCCCTGTATAATTTGTGGAGGTGCACGCTGCCATTCGAGCATTATTCTGCAAAATAATAATATTAAATGGATTGAATTAAATGGATTGATTGCTAGAGTCATGTTGGATGGCTGTTCATCCGAGTCACAGCCTCTACGTTGGGGTGTCCCACAAGGTTCAATTCTCGGCCCATTACTGTTCAACCTCTATATACTGCCCTTAGGAGCCATTTTCAGAAAGCATGCTGTCTCATACCATCTTTACGCTGATGACTGTCAAATCTATTTTTCATTTAAGCCAACTCAATCAACGAAAGTTCTGTCTGATTGTATCCTTGAGGTCAAGCAATGGCTAGCTGATAACTTCCTCCATCTTAATGACTCCTAAACTGGCTTAATCGTTTTCAGTCCTGAAGGCTCTGAAGATGGATGCCCAGGTCAATAACACAGTTAAATCATGTTTTTTCCAACTAAGACACATCTCGAAACTAAAGCACATCCTGAGTGTACGTCTTCTGAAATCTGTGGTCCACACTTTCATCACTTCAAGGCTGGATTACTCTAACTCCTGCTTTTATGGCATCAGTAAAGCAGCTCTTTCTAGACTTCAGCTGGTCCAGAATTCAGCAGCTAGGTTGCTGACTGGAGCTGACAGAAGAGAACACATTTCTCCAATTTTGAAATCTCTCCACTGGTTGCCCGTGCAGTTCAGGATAAACTTCAAAATTATGCTTCTGACTTACAAATCCTTGAACCATCAAGCTCCTCCATATCTGTGTGAACTTGTCCATTACTACAACCCGCCGCGTGCTCTCAGGTCTGAAGATAAGCTCCTCCTAGCTGTTCCGAATGCACGTTTAAAAAGCCGTGGAGAAAGGGCTTTCTCTGTCTGTGCACCGAAGCTGTGGAACGCATTACCACTGCTAGTGAGGCAAGCACCAACAGCTAGCATTTTTAAATCACGCTTGAAAACTCACTACTTCAACCTAGCTTATACAACATAATTATGACCATCACTTACATCTGCATTGTTTAAAAATGGACTTTACAATATCAACTTCTGTACTATTGAGGTTCTTTTTTTAAAATGTTTTTCTAAGTTTTTTTATTCTCCCTGTGTCTTATTGATTTTTAGCTGTTAGTTTTTTGGGAATTTTGTTGTATTTCCTTTTTATCTTTTATCTGTGTTCGACATGTTTGTATATCGCCTGTTTAATTAACTAACATTTTTAGTGTACAGCGCCTTGTTTGGTTGTAATGCCTTGTGAATGCGCTTTATAAATAAAATTGGATTGGATTGGATTGAATCCTCCAGTGAATAACAATAAAGAACCTGCCGGCTTACGCCAGGGACAAACTGGCCGCGGAAGCGCCGCGAAAATGGGACCGCCTTCATTCGGCGCCCTTGTTAAGCTATTCTATAGACCACATGGGCCGCCGAAGCGCCGCGAATCGCCTCGCGCCGGCGCGCACCGGCGCTCCAGCCCGCGCCGTGCAGCGATCATTTTGGCGTCGGCTCTATTTTTTTCACGAGCCGCGGGTGAATCGCGTCAATTCTGGCAGGAAGTCAAACCTGGACATGAGAAGCAGGCCGGTAAAGTTAACAAAATAAAGCATTTCAAAATAAAATTCCGCAATAGTCAAATGTGTTCGTAAACAGACACTGCAGAAAAACCACACGAACACGCACACACATACACACACATCGAACTTGTGTGCGTGTGTGACCACGTGAAGGGGGGTGTGGTTTTGGGTGTCTTTTTACCGGCGCAAACAGGACAGAGAGGCAGAAAGTCTGAGGCAAGCAGTTAAGATGGATGACTTTAAATTAATTATGGAAGTTGAGAAACACAAGGAGCTGTACGACCCCCGAAAAACACGTTTATTTACGTACCCATTTCGGAAGAAACTGCTAGGATACAGCTGCAGAACTGGAGCGGGTTCCAAGAAATTCAACTGGCAGAAACAACTCATACCATAGGTTCACACACACACACACACACACACACACACACACACACACACACACACACACACACACACACACACACACACACACACACACACACACACAAACACACACACACACACACACACACACACACACACACACACACACACACACACTCAAACGTAGAGGGAAAGAGCTGAGAAAAGGCAGAGAGGAAATGGAGGACACCAAGTGTTTAAAAGAAAAACTACAGCTGAGCTGAGGCGTGCCTCGACTGGGGCGCGTCTGATCTGAACTGAGGAGCGGCGAGCAGCGGCCGAATTTCGTGAGCGATTCGCTTCGCGGCGCTTCGCGGCGCTTCCGCGGCCGGTGTGTCCCCGGCGTCAGCCTGTTAGTCCCCTTAATAAAAGGCTGACCAGGAAGGAGTCAGTTGAAGTGGCTCAGACATCTGGTTAGGATGCCCCCTGGACGAGGAGATCATCATCTCTGTTATTGGCCCCTCTCAGACTAATCTTTACCATGTTAGCCATGAGTCATATTGACATATCAGCTGTTAGAAATCAGACACCTTTACTGTGTGTGAAGACAATAAATGGTAAATGGCCTGTATTTGATATAGCACCTTCTAGAGTCCTGAAACCCCCCAAGGCACTTTACAACACAACCAGTCATTCACCCATTCACACACACATTCACACACTGGTGGGGATGAGTTACAATGTAGCCACAGCTGCCCTGGGGCGCACTGACAGAGGCGAGGCTGCCGAGCACTGGCGCCACCAGTCCCTCCGACCACCACCAGCAGGCAACGTGGGTTAAGTGTCTTGCCCAAGGACACAACGACAGCGACAGACTGAGCGGGGCTCGAACCTGCAACCTTCCGATTACGGGGCGAGCACTTAACTCCTGTGCCACCGTCGCCCCATGATGACAATAAAACTAGATGGTGATAAAGTTAGATGTAAGAATATGTAGGTTACATGTAAATAAATCTGTCCTGGATGCAGTGGTGTGTTAATAGCTTTGATACAGCAGCAGTAAACAATACAGTTACAGAGGATTTATTGCACTGGTGATCAAGATTTTACGGTAGCAGTAGATGAGTGCCACGATTCATTACAACATGAAGAAGCAGAAGAAGATAGAGCACCTCTCAAGATAAAAATCCCAAAAAGTTTTACAGGAGAGCTGTCAGCTCCCATGCTTTCTTTACGAATAGTTACTGTTAAAACTACATGTGCCTTTAGCAAAAGCACATGTTCAATCCAGACTCAACATATTTTTCACCATATTTTTAATTGTTAAAAAAACAATGGTACATTATTCAAGTAAATGAAATAAAATCAAAGTGGTATTTTTTTCCTATTTGCTGAAAGATAATGGAAAACAAAATATCAGCTAATGAATCAGCATCTTTCCCTGACTTCAGCTCAATCTGAAATGTCACGATCTGCATACTGATAGATTAACATGAATGGAAATCTCTGCTGAATTTAATGAACCACAACATTCATCCAGAGAAGGTCTGTTAAAAAAGAGACAATAAAGTACGTTTGTATGTCTGTGATGAGAAGTGCATTTACCAGCCAAGCTTCACTGACTGATCAAATTAAATGTGACGTGTCACGGATTTAAATGCACGCAATCAGTCACAGAGAACTTTTCATTTCTCCTCCTGCGTCATATTAGAGATATTTATTTACATGAGTCAGCTAAGATGTTCCTGTCTTATAGCCAACAGTACCTGAGGAACACCACAGTAATGGTCAGATGTCTCATCAACAGTTGTTTTATCACACATGATATAAGACAGAGTAATAAAAGCAACTTATATGGCAGCTAAGCAAAGGTGAGCAAGCAAAGGGTGTGACGACACCCAGAAAACGCCAACAGTTTCCAAAGTGTGGGGCTATTTTAAACTCAAGCTGATGGACAAGACCACTAGCTTAGTGCTAAGCTAACGTAGCACCAAGCTAGAGTTTCACAATAGCACAACTTTCACGTCCCAGAATCTCAGCACAATCCAGACGCTTCATCAGCTGCATATCTAAGACAAGGCGTGTGATCTACAGTTTAGACAAAGATAAAGAGTATCTCCAGCTATAAACAAAACTGAGCTGCTATCGCTAAACGCCAACAAGTGTGTTTGTTTTTGTCCTTCGTGATTCTTTGCCAGTGAGCATGAGGCAAAAATGTTTTCTTGTCCGTTTGTTTAAGAAACTACATGTTTTTGATATTCAGTTATCTTTATTGCAGAAAGGAAAATGAATCATAGTTGTAATCATCTTGATTACAATGATGGATATTTACCATTTATTTTCTTAGAATGTTAGCAGATAGGCTAATCTAAATTTCCTCTCTCTTTGTTTCGGGAATCAGCTTCACTTGACAGATTAGCCTGGGTAAATCCATCCTTCTCAGCTGAACATGCACAAGTCAACAGGCAGCACATGAAGAGGAGTTGAAAAGAGTAAATGTTGTTCAAAATATGACTTGATTTTTCCACCAATTACTGCTTCATTACATTTTGACTATATTTTAACCTTTGAATCAGATGTGAGGTTTCATTTTCTAAACATATCAGGTGTCTTTGAGATATATTTGACGTGATGGAGAGGTGGTTTTACTTTGGTTTCTGCCTGTTTCTAAGCCCACACTCTGCAGAGGAAACTCATTGTGGTCTCTTGCATTCACAATGTCCCTCATTAAGTCGTTATTCAAAGGTGAGGCTTGGAACGTGGATCAACACATAAATTAGAGCTCAGTTCCCTTTTCAGCCAAACAGACCAAGATGAAATGCAGCTGACACAACCTACTTCATAGTGAAGCATCTATGATCAACCAGGAATGTTTCCAGGATGATTTTATAAACGGCTTTTCTTTTGGTGGTGATGTGGAGAAATGTAACTGCACCTTCATCATGTATGCTGATGGCTAAATGGGGGATTAAGGACAATAAATATACAATATGCAGCATGGTTGAAAGGCAGATCCATAGAAGACAGTTCTGGAAATTGAACCTATTTGAGACAGAATACTTCCAGAGCACAGCTAGACACCAGATGGACTGTGGAGCCCTGACGTCAAAGAAATGACAAGACTGGAGAGAAAGAATGGAGGAGAGATGGAGGAAAAGGAGTAGACAAACACTAGCCGAACAACCTCGGGCCAACTCGATCGGTCAGCCCTGCTTGCCATTTTTTATTTTTCCATTCCCAGCCTCTGATCTGACAGCTCTATCACATTCAGGTGTCACAGCTTCTGCACTCATTCATGCACTCATGGGAAATGCCCATTAAAATGTTGCTGTAAATGAATTAAAAGATGCCAAGTTGATGAAAAATATTGGCAGTTTCATAACATAACCATCCAAATCTGTTCTAAAATACATGGGAGTGGGTCTAAGGGTGTTTCTCAATGTCAAGGTGCCTTGCCTTGCGAGGCCATGTGCCTTGCTTACGAGGACACTGTCCATCCCTGGTCAAAGAAAACGGTTAAAAGGAACAGACTTGCATCACGTGACCACGGCTTCCACGGTGGTCACGTCATGTGACATGGGAGACAAACGCTATGTTTTATACGTGTTAGTTTCAATATAAATATATAACGAGCCTTTTACTTTTTAAATTGTGTATATGTTTATTAAATGAAAAATATAAGTGAGTTACAACCCGCTAGCCACCGAAGCTGCAACTACTAAGCAACTAACCAACAATAGAAAACTTCTTTGGATCTAAAGAAAAAAAAACATTTTAAATTAGCTGATTTACTTTTAAACTTGAAAATTGTCCCCAAAGTAGCTGCCGGCTTCTGACCATCCTTTTGAAAATACTGCGGTGTATTGTGGGTAATTTTTGACCAAGGCTAGGCTACAAGACACCTCCCGTGTATTCTTGCTCAGCTAGCTAAACAGCTAACAAAAGGAGAACACATGCCTTGGTAGAACATGAACATTGGAACCGATTGGAACACATCTTGGTGGCTCCTGATGACGTGTCTCCTAGGCAACTGGGGCGGGGCTAAGACATCAAGGCAAGGTTCCTTGACATTGAGAAACACCCTAAGTCTCTGGGCGGTGCCATATTGGATGTCATGCTTCCTTCTATGGGAGCCCGTGAGGACAGAATGCATTTACTGATTTGTAACAAATGGTTACAAAACTTTCACCATTAATACATGTTGTTGTTTTACACATTTACCTCTTCACTCGTGGCCAGTGATTAAAGGGAGTCTGATGTTCTTGTAATTTTGCTGGAGGTTGTGCTCCTGGGGATTTTTTATCTTATTGGCCATCTGTTGATAAGTTCTTACTTGAACACAAAAGTAATGCTTGCCTACAATCATTTAGGTGTACTGCCCCCTATCGGCAGGGAAAATACACACTGTCACTTTAAATGTGGACACATGTGGCACTTAAGAATCATTTGTGCAAATGATCAGCAAACTTTTCACTTACCACAGTCTCATGAGGAAATGGTGTTCCATGACCTAATGTGGGAGAGGCCAGTCTGTCAAAAGGAAGAGGGAAAGAGAGACATCAGAGGACAACTAATTCCACAGCTACACTCTCATTTCTTTACAGTAAAGCCCCTCTTTGATCCGGGAAAGGTACCTCTCCACGTAGTTTTGACCTGCAGACAAGTCCCTGTCCAAATGGTAAAATCATTAGACAGCATGGGATAAACTTCCATTGTTCCGCTGGCGATAGTTATATTTATCCATAAAACCTGGTTCACCTAGTCAGTTAGGTAGATTATAAAAATAGAAATAGATGTCCCCCCCACGTGTTTTGGACCTGAACTTCTGAAAAGGAAACTTGAATGAAGCTCAGTCAGTCATCTGATCTCATTAAATTAACCTTATCTTTGACCAGAACATGCCATTCACATCTCACATTAAACACGTTTGTAGGATTTCCTTCTTCCACTTCAGGAATATTACTAAGATTTCAAACGTCCTGTTTGAGTGATGCTGAAAAACTAGTTCATGCATTTATCACCTGAAGACTGGATTACTGTAACTCTTTATTAACAGTAAGTTCACAGAACGTAGTCAAAGGTCTTCAGCTTGTCCAAAATGCTGCAGCTAGAGTTCTGATGAGAATAAAATAAAAAATAAAAAACACATCTCACATCTCAATTCAATTCAAATTCAAAAATACTTGATTAATCCCAGAGGGAAATTAGAGTCTCTCCAGTTTTAGCTTCCCTATTAGCTGCTTGTTCAATTTAGAATAGTTTATTGTGTGTGATGTTCCTATAAGAGGTAGCTGAAGACTGAAACTGAAAGTTAGAGATGCGGGTTTATCTCAGCTGTTTGTTAACCTGTTTAACAAACAGTTCAACTTAAACTATTATAATAAACTGCTGTTATGGACAAAATGTCATTCTGTCTGGCATTTTAGCTTAGCACAAATGCCACAATAATAAGAAATGACCTCGTGTTTGTAATACAGCTGCTTTAAGCTTCCGGTGGGCAGATCTTTGCAGGCTGCTGCTGCAGAGACCAGAGATGAACTCTGATGGATTAATGAAAAAAATGCCTTTGTCACGGAATCAGAGAAAATTATCAACAGACAGTCTGCAATTTGTGGTTTTCAGGAAGATGATTTATTTGGCACTAAGGCTGGGCGATATGACGATTTTAGACCGCTTTACGATCTACACATCTGACGGTCTGTCATTTTTGAGAGACCTTTTTATCACGATTCACAGCTCTGCAGTTGAATTTCTGCCTCTGAATGAAAAGGGAACTTACCCCAGGCGAATGACAAGCCTTTGTTTGACCCCTAACTAATCAGAGTGAGTCATAGTAATATATTAGTGCCCCGCTTGTTTTCACCTGTGTGTGAACAAACATGGCTTCGGCCGCGGCTGAGAGCGACAACGAGGTTTTCGTTCCGAAGAGGAACGCCTCATCCATTATATGGAACTGGATTGGTTTTTCACCAGATGACAAAGAGCAGCGAAACTTCATTTGCAAGGAGAGCGTCAAGGCAAGTGATGGCAACACCACAAACTTGTTTAATCACTTGAAAAGAAGGCATCCCAAACAATACAACGAGAGCCAGCTGGTAGCTAAAGCTAAAAAGCCTGCGGCTACAGCGGCAGTGGCTAGTGCTTCTTTCTGGCAGCAAACGCTAACAAACACTCCCAAAACTCACTCCCTACGACAGAGACAGCAGACGATGGAACAGCGTGACAGATGCAGTGACGTACCACTTGGTTAAAGATTTGAGTCCCGTGCGAACAGTAGATGGAGTGGGATTTAAGAAAATGATAAAAACATTGGATCCGCGCTACGAGTTTTCCAGCCGCAAGTATTTTTCGAACACAGCCATTCCACGCATGTACGCTGAATGCAAAGAGAGAGTTGCAGAAAATATTCAGAATGCGCAGTTGTTTGCTACCACAAGCGATCTCTGGTCCAGCCGCACATCAGAGCCGTATTTGAGCTTAACTATCCACTACATGAGCAACTGGGAGCTACATAGTATTTTGAACAAGTTAATGTTTGCACAATACATTTGCAATTGACATGTTTGCACTTTAAATGTGTTTATGATTTTAATTTATGTTAAGTTACTTGAAAAACGAGAAAAACTGATTTTTGTAATTGTTTTTCTCAGGGCTTTTATCATCTCTGGTGTGAGTTTAAAGTATAAGTGTGTTAGCACTGTGTTGATTATCCCTAATATGAATAAATGTTTATTTATTCAATGTTTCTCTTCTTTAATACGCAATTGAAGTTATGCTATTCATGGATAAAAAATCGTGATAAAATCGAAATCGTGATAAAATATTGGAAAAATCGTGATATTCTATTTTTGCCATATCGCCCAGCCCTATTTGGCACAGAAGAGGCACATCGGCCATAATGTTCAACAATTTAGGGGTTTTCATCTGACAATATTAAAACACATCAGTAATTTCAGACTGACCGACGCGTTTTCTCAAACACTGTAGTCGGAAAGGTCAGACAGAACTAAATATAAATTAAAACGACACACAAATTTTAAAGAAGAGCGTTTCATATTGAACAGATATCTCAATGCATTTTCTATTCCCACTCTTTCCCACTCCTGTTCATTTTTTTCCCTGTTTTGTCCCAGTAACATGAGTAATAATAAGGTTACTCCCTTTTCACGGGAATCCCGCAGGACTCACATGACCCACTGGGATCCCAAAAAAATTGTCAGCCACACCATGTCAAACAACACAGTGACCACTGGAGCCCTATAATTAGGCCCACTGACTGATTACTAAATTGTGGACACCTGTGAAGCTAATTAGTAGACACCTTGTCCTTTTATAGGGTACCATCATTTTAGTCAAGGCCTGTTCAATTAGTTAATTTTTTAAATAATTCTTTTGAAACATGGTTGAAAAGCAATATCTGACTTTCACTGAGTACATTTCATTGAATTTTTATTCATTGCTACTTTTGTGAAATTCAAGCTATTTCTGTGAGCATTGCATATTTGATATTGCACCTTATAGTGTCCTGGAACCCCCAAGGCACTTTACAACACAATCAGTCATTCACCCATTCACACCCTGGTGGTGATGAGCTACATTGTAGCCACAGCTGCCCAGAGGTACGCTGACAGGCGCCACCGGTCCCACCGACCACCACCAGTAGGCAGGTGGGTTAAGTGTCTTGCCCAAGGACACAACGACAGTGAATGACTGAGCGGGGCTCGAACCTGCAACCTTCCGATTATGGGGCAAACATTTAACTCCTGTGCCACCGCCGCCCCAGAACAATTCCACGCAACATGTTTTCATCCTGCAGACTCTCTGCCAGTTGCATGCAAACAAGTGCTGAACTATTGAATGTTTTCAACCCCAGAGAAGAAAGCAAATATGGGAAAATAAAATAAAATCTATAGTAAAATACAATTAGACTGCAGTAATATGAGTCGATATCCTTACAATAATCATGATACATTTCAGCCCTACCTGAAACATCTAGAGAGTTAGAACTGCTGCCTCGTGTGAAACTATGTGTGGGTGTGAATTTGTTTATTTAGATGGAGGTACTTATAAAATGATGTCATGGTGTAAAATCACCTGTGTCTTAATACACAACATGCTAAAAGCTATCAGACCATCTGCAGGAGCATTAAAGGATCCCGCAGGGTTCCACATCTTTTATTACCCTTCCATTAGCCTTAGCATTAGCATAGTGATTACTGCTGCTTAACTCTTCAGGCTTGTTTTCCTGTGCCTCATTAAAACATTTGCTCAGCGTCAGTGTGTTAGATTTGCGCTCCATGGCAGCGAAAGCTAATATGCAGACTACACTAATAGTGCAATCCATGTGAAGAGAAAAGATGTGTTCCTAGAATCCCCGATTGCAACAACAAGGGTCTGAATTCATTTTAGTTCTGATCACCTGCTAATTATACCTTGCTAGGTGCAACGGATATGCATGATATGCAGTTGCACCCAGAGGCAGCAGTCATCGCATAACAGCTTTAATATGCGCTGTGTGAGGCACATGAGTGTTTGCTGCTCACCCAGCAGAAAATGACTGATGCTTTCATATGCGTTTATTGATTTGCTGGGAATTGTGTAAATAAGTGTGTACTTGTGTGCACACGAGCATGGTGTGTTTGCCTAGCTAGCAGTAGAGATAATTCGAACACAACTTTTTCACTGTCCCTGCAGGCCACTGATCCAGCTGCTTTCATCTAATATAGGTCAGCTGTGACAAAGCCCTCAGCATGGACACTGATCTGCTCTGCTAGCTCTCTCATACACAAAAGATTAAATTAAACTCACAACTACACACTGGGAAAGAGAGGCTCCCTCGCATACATGCTCATGACTCATAGTGCACATATAGACACACACGCACAGCAGGTAATGGTTCACAGTAAGGCCTCAGGTGTGTGAGTACCAAGCAACCCATACATAAACACAAACAGGGGAGAAAATGAAAGTCAACTCATGCTCAGCAAAACAAGGACGCAATACAGGTGCTGGCCAAAAATTTTTGAATATCATTACAAAGTTGATTTATTTCAGTAATTCCATTCAAAAAGTGAAACTTGCATATTAGACTCATTCATTACACACAGACTCATTCAGTAGTCCCTCACTATAGCGTGGTTCACCCTTCACGGCTTCGCTGTTTCATGGAGTTTTCGGTAAATAAATAAAAGGCAACGACAATAGCTGACATTAATGAAAATCCAATCCAAAAATGGAAAAGATAGGTGAGCAGATAAAAGAACCAATCAGCTATTTGGAAAGGCAGGACTGGGCAAAAAAAAAAAAAAAGAACCAATCAGAGACTGAAACCGGCCGCTGTTTGAAGAAGCTAGCTGTAACTATAGATGTTGGTAATAGATGAACAATTTGTGTCTAAAACGAGAAAATGTCCACGGCTGAGAGGAAAAGCATCAGGTGTGACCAAGTCTTTGCTTGGTGAGTTCAGGGTCTCTCCTGGTTTTAGAAGCTATGGCCGTAATATAACCAGCGTTTGGTGTTCTAGCTGTGTT